CAGGTTTCCCAATATTAGGACTCCAGGTTTTTCCCTCTACAGTTAAAAGATGGCATGAGGAGACTCATGTATCCCCTCTAATTCTACACAGTAAAGTCCAAGATTAAAGAGGAAGTTAGGCTAGAGAGGTGGCTCAGCAGTTAGAAGCGTTGGCTGCTCTTGCAGAGGACCTGGGTTTGGTTCCCAGCACCCACATGGCAGCTAACAACTGTCCTTAACCCCAGTTCCAGGGGATTCAACTCCCTTCTTCTGGCCTCCCCAGGCACTGCACAACATGGCTGAACTTACATGCAGGCAAAACACTCATACACATAAAATAAAAATAAATAAAATTAAAAAAAAAGAAGTTTTACATCTCTTTGAAAGTTTCATATATTCTCTTATAAAGATAAAAAAATTTCTTGGCCAACTTTTCCTTACATCTGGAACAAGAAATGTTTTCTTAACTTCTGCCTACATTCATCACTAGAGAGGAGAAATGAGTACCCAGTTCAGCAAATGGTTTCCCAACTCCTGAAAAAAGCAGAGTTCCACAGAAGGCGATTAGAAGCTGTAATTCATAGGTCAATTACAATGAGCTTCTTAAAATGGCTTTTAAAAATTGTGAATATGATGTATATATGTGCATATGTGTATGTATGTAGATGTGTTTAAGTGCCACGAGTGTGTGGCAGTGTGTGTGTGTGTGTGTGTGTGTAGGTCAGAAAACAACCTAACGCTGTGGCCCTCTCTTTCTACCTTGTTTGAGGTAGGGTCTTCACAGTTGGCAGCTGTGATGTATAGCTAGGCTAGCTGGCCTGCAAGCTGCTAGGGATTCTCTTGTCCCCACTTCCAATCTTGCTGTAAGATCACAAGGACTACAGACATGTGCTATCAAACTTGGCTTTCCGTGGGTTCTGGGGATTCAAACTAAACATCCTCACACTTGGGAAGCAAGTTCTTTACCCATGCAGCCATCTTTCAGTCCCATGATCTACCCATCTATTCATCTACATATCTATGTTTCTATGTGTCTATGTTACCTACCTAGCAAGACTTTGGAATCGGTTGAAAATTAAAGAAAAAGCCCAAATCAATCTATCAACCTATCAACCAACCTATCTATCTCGAACGCGCTCTGTCTCTCTGTCTCTGTCTCTGTCTCTCTCTAGTGCAAAACTTGTGCTGGTTTTCTAGAATAATTCTTTTTCAACAGCAGTACATATTATGGTAAAAAGCCTAAGGTCATTAACCAGGTGAGTTGGCAGCGTTTGTGCTGCTGCTCATTCAGTTCCACAGTGAACAGGGATATTTTTGAGGCCAAAAAAGAATGGCAAAGGTTCATTCTTCCCTCTATGAGGTGGTGACCAGGAATATACCACCAACATTCACAAGCGCATCCAAGGAATAGGCTTCAAGAAAACTGCCCCTTGGGTACTCAAAAAAATCTGGAAATTTGCCATGAAGGAGATGAGTACTCCAATGATAGCAGGCTCAACAAAGCTGTCTGGGCCAAAGGAATAAGGAATGTTCCATATCGCATCCAGGTTCTTTTACCCAGAAAATGTAATGAGGATGAGGAGTCTCCAAACAAGCTCTATACTTTGGTAACTTGTTTCCCCCTTATCACATTAAAAAATCTACAGACATGGTGGATGAGAACTGCTGAGAGTCAAATAAAGTTATAAAACTGCAAAAACTGACCCCAAACCAAAACACAAACCCCCAACAAAGCACCCCCAACCCAACAAAGCAACAAATCTTTCCTCTCTCTCCTAAATTCCTCTGTCCTGGGATCCTCAGGCCCCTTCTCTCTGAAGCTTTAGGTTTCATAATGCCCCCAGTGTCTTTTTTGACTTAATTCTAGTTTCCCTTACCACTAAAAATGCTTAATATTCAATGCCAAAGACATTATTTGGTCATAGAAACATGCTCTATAAAGTGTTCAAATGGGAACTTTTAAAATACCAAATGAAATCACAGAAATAAAATACCAAGTAAGCAAAAATAAGGCCCAGCAATACCCAAGTGGGTCGTTTTTTTATACTGAGTTTTTCCAGTATATGAATGACTTAATGCACTAAACTTGCAGGATCAGTATCCTGCCCTAGCACTCAGAAATAAGAAAAGGGGAGTTGATATGGCATTTAAGAGCTATTGATGGCAACTTGCATTCATTAGCTTGTCATAAAAATATGATAGTCTTTCCCTTTAAAGGTCCTAATGACAATTTTAATTTGAATAAGACTAAGGAGAATACACTACTCCAGAAGTCCACACCACTGACAAGGTGTTTTCAATTACACATGCCCTCTGATGAACTAAGATGTTAATGATGAAAACCTATCGTGCACATGAGTGGCAGAAAAGGACTGAGAACTTCAGACTTGAACACACTACTACAAGAGATTATAAGCTTTTCATTGGACCTTTCATAAGTAAAATGACTTATAGACAGCAAACATTACTTTCTCAAAATGGAGGACATTATTCATTGTTTTGAATGAGCATTATAAAAGTCATAAAATGCTTACAAAAGAAGTTAATGACAAACATGATGCTCCTAGGTGTAACAGAAAGCCCATTTAGCTTAATATTTCAGGCTGCAGATTAGTGCTGGCACCTTCTTTACACTCATGTGTCAACTGAACTTTGTCACGGTAGATTGAAAGATTTCCCAAAGAGGAATGAAACTTTCATAGAGTAAAGGAATTGATAATGACAGACTCAGACATCTATTCAATTTGAGCATGTTGGGATATACTGTACTTTTGCATGTGTCCACCGGTGAATTTATGAGTATTATCCTAACTTGTAAACCTTGTAAAAAAGTACCTTAACGTCCTCACGCTTCAATAAAAAGCTTATCAACTAAAAGTCTGTATTTTCCTGAACACCAAGCAATCATTTTGTATACTCTAGTGTCAGAATCCTACTTTAGAGACTGTTGCTTAAAAATATACATTCTTGGGGCTTGAAAGATGGCTCAGTGGATAAGAGCACTGACTGCTCTTGCAGAAGACCCAGGTTCAATTCCCAGCACCCACATGGTGGCTACAAACTATCCTTAACTCCAGTTCCAGGGGAATCCAAAGCCCTTTTCTGACCTCTGTAGCACTGCACAACAGGGGTGCACTCACTTACATACAGGCAATACACTTAATACACATAAAATAAAAATAAATAAAATATATTTTAAAAAAAACACTCTTTTTGCTAGCAAGAACAAAAGTTTTTAGAGAAAGCAAACTTGAAACAAAGAATGCTGAGTAAAAAAAGAAACCTCAGAAAAAAATACTGTAAATATGGGTTGGAGAACATAAAAATGCTCTTCATTTTGTTAGGCTCTTCTCTTTTCTAATGGAACTAATACTAAGAAGTACATCTCATAAAAAGAAAGCAAGGTCTGAACTCCACCCACGAACTTCAATTGCTGCTTCATGCACAAAGGCCCATGCTTCTTCACTTACTCTGCATAGATACAATGTAGATGAAAGGGGGTTTGTGTTTTATAATCAGGGGTATGAACTCAGCCTATGAAAAACTACTGCTTTACTACAGTTGAAAATACTATAAAACTCAAGCACTTGTCCATTAATATCATCCACATTTCTGAAAAAATATACTGTTAATTTTAATCATTTGCAAGTTCAAGTTGACTTTACCAAACCACCAGTGTGTTTTCTTCTTTAAGTAACTCAGTTTCAGAATGTATTATCCAGACAGTGCCAATTAAGTCATTAAATTTTCATATTTTAATATAAATGTTTGTAAAATTATTATTGCTAATTTGAGGAAATATAAATATTTAAAGTAAGTAAAGCTATTTTGACTATCATTTAAAAGTTGACTATCACAATGTATTAATTCTAGTAGTATTGACTTAGAAATAGTATTATGTGGGGGCTGGAGAGATGGCTCAGTGGTTAACAGCACTGACTGCTCTTGCAGAAGACCTGGGTTCAAGTCCCAGCACCCACATGGCGGCTAGTTCCAGGGTAATCTGAAGCCTTCTTCTGACCTCTGCGGCAGCACTGCACAGCACAGGCGCACTCACATACATGCAGGCAATACACTCATACGCATAAAATAAAAATAATAAATAAAATATTTGAAAAAATAGTATATGTGTTGTGGGGAGTACAGCTCAGCAGCAGAGCACTTGTCTACCATGTGGGAGATCCTAGATTCAATCTCTAGCACTAGGAAAAAAAGATTTTGTGTGTGTGTGTGTACTTGTGTAAATGTATGCCACATATATGCAGGTGCCTGTGGAGGTCAGAACTGAGTTATAGGTGGTCTCCTGTAGGTGGTTGTAAGTCACCTGAAATGGATGCTGAGAACTGAATTGGGTCTTCTTCAAGGACAGCATGTACTCTTAACTACTGACCCATCTCTCCAGCCCATTTTTAAGGGTTTGATGAAAAGTGTTCCCCAGCAAGGCTTGGTTCCCAACTGATGGTACTATTTTGAGGGGTTCTGGAAACTTTAGGAGGTGGGATGAAGTAGGTCACTAGGGAGGATCCTCTAAGATATTCTTGTTCTTATTATCACCCTGCCTTGCTTTCTGCTTCCTGTCTTCTATGAAGTGAAGAAACTCCTATGCCAACATGGTCCCTCCACCACGACTTTCTGTTCAAGTGCATGAGGCCAAGTGACCATGAACTAAACATTTCAAAACCATGAACAAAATAATTCTTTTCTTAAATTTTTTTCTTATTTCTGTCAGGTGTTTGGTCACAGAAATAAGTTCCTAATACAAATGTAAACTTCAAATATATTTCAAGACAGGAACGTGCTGCATTCTACTGCTTTCTAGAAGACTGTCAAGGACAAAGAAACAATTTTTTAATTAGCAACAAGATTTAAATCAACTTTATAGGATAACTTAAGAATTTAAACACAAGCTAATAGCTCTTTCTAAAGAATAAAATTAATTGCTCAGGGAAACTCAACTATATTAAGAACAGCGCTGGTGGCTTAGTGCTGAGCTAGGTACTTTATTTCTGGTGTATTCTTACCTTTGCTCCATGCTTATGCAGAACTTCCATGACATCATTATGAGCTCTTTCAGCTGCGACATGCAGGGGAGTCATGAAACTAAGGAAAGGAGAAAAGGAAAAGAGAATTTCCTAACTTTTACTGTGTTTCCTTTTAAAGAACTGAGCTATTCAGCAGTCAATGGCTGTTAGCGGAGCGGGCATCAATTCCTTCAATGGTTCGTCACTTATGCTGCCCACGCTCCAGTAAACACCCTGCACTCATGCTCATGCTAACAACCTCAATTAAGCTCAGGGGATCACAAAACCAAAACAAAAAAGAACTGGAAAAATACATGAAAACAGGAGAGGACTTTTTGTGTAGAAGGGGCTCAGTGGGAGGGGGATAATGGTGGAAGTAAAAACAACGAAGTTTCATTATATACAAGTATGACACAGTCAAATATAAAAAAAGAAAAAGAAAAACAAAAGAACTGAACAATTCCTTTTGCTATTACACTTACTCCTTATTTTTTTCATTGACATTTGCTCCTTTTCTAAGTAACAGTTCTGTCACTTGTTTTCTTTTGGGATGCAAGGAGGCCACAGCACAGTGCTATAAAGTAAACAAAATTAAGTTAAAAACAACCAAAAACCTTTCTATTTAAATGTGAACTGAATGAAATAGCATCTATTAATTACTTAGAACACTGTTATTTCAAAGAGCATCAAGACACAATTATGCGTTTTATTTATGGAGCTGATCAATACTCGCTCTAAACACAAACCAAGTGAAATTATGCTCTCAGTTAAGCATTAAAAGACCTAATTTCTTTTCCTTTGGTCAATAATACTTAGCATATAGTCCATTAGAGGGATCAGAATACTGTCTCTTCAAAGCTGTAGAAATCTATGTATGAATTACTCAAGCCTCCATTGGTCTTATAAACCACACCAATCAGGATGTCCAGGATGGAGTCAGTGTTACTCTGACACTTCCAGAACTCTCAGTAGGCAACCATATTTGCCCCAGGCACTGGTGAGAACATGTGACCTTGAAGCAACCTAAGAACAAGAATTCTCAAAAACCATGTTTCATCCTAATATTTGTGACTTTTGTATTTTGCTCCACTATACATCAATGTTTCAGGTTTTAAAAATAAAACTCTTCACAATTCAGCTGTAAAGTAACTATTCCAAACAGCAGGTTAAGGTGAGTTTATTTTCTTATGGTATAGGGAATTATACTCTGTGATTCTGATTATCCCTGGCTTAATGCTGTGTTGACTGAGTTGTTTGAACTAGGTTTGGGGTATAAATTTAAGTTGGCCTATTTTAATTTGGCATATTTTAATGGGCATCAGACTGCGTGAAAGTTTGGCTTTTCTTTGCCACAGAGGTTGAAGAATGTTAAATGAGGGCTGGAGAGATGGCTTAGCAGTTAAGAATACTGAATGTTCTTGCAGGAGACCCAGGTTTGAATCCCAGCACCCACATGGCAGCTAACCACTGCCCGTAACTCCAGTTCTAGGGGATCCAAGGCCCTCTTCTGACTTCCATGGGCATTGCATGACATGGGTGCACTCACACACATGCAGGCAATACACACATAGACATAAAATAAAAATAAGAAATAAAATATTTTTAAAAACAATGTTTAAATGAAGCATATTTAACAGTCTATGATGCCAGGCGTGGTGATACACTCCTTTAATCCCAGCACTTGGGAGGCAGAGGCAGGTGGAT